TTCAACTGAAAGGATGACATTTTGGAGTTCAAGACTGCAGAGGTCACTGCAGACGTGGCGGAAATAGCAGGAGAACCAGAATTAGAAGTCGAGCCTGAAGATGGGCCCTAATGGCTGCAATCTCAGGATAAAGCTCTCACATTGAGGAGCTGCTGCTTAGCGAGGAGCAAAGGAAGTGGTTTCTTGAGGAATCTACTCCTGGTGAAGATGCTGTGAGGATTGTTGCCATACCAACAAAGGACTTAGAATATTACATAAACTTCGTTGATAAAGCAACAGTAGAGTTTGAGAGGATTAACTCCAATTTAGAATGAAGTACTGTGGGTAAAATGCTATCAAACAGCATTGTGTATGACACAGAAATTGTTCATGCAATGAAGACTCAATTGATGGCAAACTTCATTGTTCTTACTTTAAAGAAATTGCCACCGCCACCCCAACCTTCAGCAACCACCACCCTGATCAGTCAGCAACCATCAACATCAAGTCAGGACCCTCCGCCAACAAAAAGATTACAACTTATTGAAAGCTTAGATGACAGTTAGCATTTTTTTAGCAATATTTTTTAATGAAAGTATTTAATTTTTTTTGTTTAATACTACTGGCATATTTAATAGACTACACAATACAGTGGTACATAAACTATATATAGTTTATTGTGGTGGTCTGGAACTGAACCCACAATACCTCCAAGGTATGCCTGTATCTCAGTGATTAGTTTTCAATGTAATAGCAATGATAAATGAAACGAACTGAAGAAAAGCTGTAAAAATCACCACATCCTTTAAAAATATCACTCTGCACTACAGAATTCCTTTATGAAGACTACTCTAATAGGGTTAATTTCCAATTTCTAGAGGTAATAAAATCTATTCCTGATGGATAAACTCATTTAATCAACAAATATTTATTTGGCATCTACAATGTGCCAGGTTTATATTCTAAAATACAGTTCTTGATACAGCTCATCAGTGAATAAGACAGAGATCCTTATTGTTGGTACAAAGAGACAGAGAACAAAGCAAAAGTTTTTAATTAAAAATCTATTTCTAAACTGTAAAGTCAAAAAAAAAAGTGAAAGCTAGACCCACCTACATGTTTATCATGATTCTGTTGCTCCAGTAGCAAAACAAGGTAAATCACCTCAGGGTACAATTTATAGCTGGAGTCCACAATCACCTTGTGCTTACTCTGGGCAGGGGACCCTTGGAGCTACTGCTCATTCCAATAGCGCTGGGCAGACAGGCTTGCAGGCCTCATGAGACACTGGTCTTATTTAACTACTACTACATACATGTTTAACTTACTTTTCTATGACTTACAGTCTTAGTAGAAAGTCTTCCAAAATGGTTTTTAGCCATTAAGGGCTACCATTTTGTAACTGCGAAGATTCTGTGAGAAGCTACTTTGTTCAAATCAGACATTCCAAGGGAGAAGAAAACTTAGAATCCGCATTCCAATTCCATTCTTCATAACACTCCAATTAGACTCCCCTAAAAGACACACTGAGGTAAGATCACTTCAGCTCTACTCACTCCCCCCACAACTGATTTCCTCCACTCTCCCTGACACCTCTAAGAAAGTTTCCTGCAGCACTTGCCCTGAGACTTTAGGGTATGTTTCATTGCACCCTTAACATTTCAAGAAACTACCCGGACTCTAACATCTTTTTCAGAGACAGTGTTAGAAAATACTGTGTTTCCCATGACAATCTGTCATATTTTCTCCTGGCTTATAAGGCACAGAGGTGTTTCCCTTTTCATTTTGGTCCCCAAGATGAAGTCAAGGGCCTGACTCAACCTGTATAATATATGCAGGACTTTATTACTTTATGAGTGTTTCTATCTCCCACTGATCTACCTATAATAGTTTCTCTATTTTCCCTGATGCTTCTACACTATTATGATCTTTGCACATTGCTAGTTATTTGTCCTTATGTTGTTATTAAAGAGCCATTCATATTCAGGCTGAAGGATTCTACTTTCTTAGGCTGTTTTCAAGAAAACGGTTTGTATATTCTGCCATGTATTAGCATCTGGTCAAACGAGTATCTTAAGTTCACAGATTTTTCCCTGAAATTGTACTAATTCAAAGCATTTAAGATCAAAGACCTCTTCAGGATATTTATGAACTGCTTTCACAGCTGGTATATAAAAAGACCAAAGCTTATTTAATAAAAATGGAATCCTTTCAGAGATGGTGACATGCAAGCCTAAGAAATATAATACCAATACTGATTTTCTATTACTAAAAACTAACAGCTACAACATAGTCATTGAGCACTTACTACAAGCCAGCCTCAACAATGCAGTGTTTACAAGTGGTAACTAATATTTCCCTCCATTTTAATGATTAGGAAACTAAGGACAGAGATAACTTGCCCAACATCATACAAGACAGAAAGGGGCAGAGAGGAAACCAGAACCCATGCCTGTTTGACTCCAAAGTCCATTCCACAATGCCCTCTCAGGATGTTTATACTTTTTCCACTTTGTTAAATGAAGCTTTAAGGAGAAAAAGGACACAAAAAAATTACATTTATGCAATAAAGAAAAGGCAGGAAGGAACCAAAAGGTGTCCAAACTAAGCAATGTTAAAGTTCATGTTCCATTCGGTGGTTCTGAGCCCTCGGTTCAAAGGCAGTATCTCATACAATGGCCCAGCAAACATGGATATTTGCTTTCCAAGCAGAACAGATTAAAATAGCATATATATAGTCACAATGCTAAGAACTGACAGGTTAACAGCAAAAATGAGTGGAAGACAGACAATACTGGGCTGTAGTAGAACACCACTAAGTACTTCACAAAACTAAGAGAGACATCACTCTTAGAGTTAAAATTCTTAGAATGTTTCAACTTTCTTCTGTGCTCTTGAACAAACCATACCCTTTCTGAACTTCAGCATCCTGATCTTCACTGTAAGCACTGTTGGATAATCCCAGCAATCCTCCGCACCTCATAGGGCTGCTCTGCGGTTAACATCAAAAGACTTGCTATGAAAGGATATTGTATGAAAGGCCCATACAAATGAAAGGGATTATTAAAACATGCGTTTGGTGCTTAAAGGGACAGACCCACAGTTATATAAACCCAAAGATATAACTAACTTTCCAAAGGTTCTGAAAACTGAGGTTTTTTTATTTTAAAAAGTTAATCATAATTACAGCGATTTAGGCCTGTCTATGCCTTTCCTTCAGTCCGCTCAATGATCAGTAGGAAAAGGGCATTTAGTCAACAAAAAGAAATTAACATGGATATTGACATCCAAGAAAAGTTAAGTCACTTGAAGGGCTGCCAAAGTTATCAGTACCTCATTTACAATGCAAAAAGGCAGAGACTCCAATGCTGCCGGCCAAGAATCACAAAGGCAAATTAAAATTAATGTACGCAAGCCAGTCCAGGATATCACATCCAGGAGTTTGGGCATGCCGAATCCTCTGAAAGGATTTCTAAAGCTCCATTTGTAAACCTTGGAAAGAACCAAACAATCACAAACCACTCATTTTTCTGTTATTTAAAAAAATGTTCAGAAAACCCTTTTCTAACAAGGGCAACACACTTAACAAGGTAAAGAACTTAAACACTTCAACTTCAGATACGTAGACTAAAACCAACTCCTTGCTTCAAAGATTGTTCAGAATTAACAACTGAATTATAACAAGATGTGTAGGTATAACGGGTGAGAGGAGCCACAGTTGTCTCTTGGGGTTTGACAACGGTGCGCTCCATCGCCTCTAGAATTCACTCCACACCCCCCAACACTGAGGCGTTACAACTCCGACAGTGCCAGAGGATTCCACCAGCGGTCGGACAGTGCGGTGGCAATGCTTACACGCTTCGGCCCTCGGGAGGTTAATGGGAATTAAACCACAGCAGCTCTCCTTTGTGGCGCTTCGGCCAGAACAGCAGAAAAGAGACAATGAGAGTTCTGTGCGCAGTTCCACGCCGATTGGCTGGTCTCTCCCCCCAGAAACCCCTGATGTCATGGGCTTGGAATGCAGGGAGGGAGGAAGGAAGGAGGATTTGGGGAGGGGGACGCCTCTCATCTCTTTCCCAGACCCTAAGATAAACCCAACGCATTTATACGTTAGGCAAAATGGGAAGCTCACTGTTACCAAAGACCAGTCCCTCCAAACTACAACCCACCTCCGCAAATAAACCCTAAACAAAAGCAACCCACTAAGATATCCCTGATAAAGCTGAAGTATAAGGTTCTACAAACTTAATCGGTATTTTAGTTTAAAAATCTCCAGTCTACAGTCTTTCACTCCCAAAGCTGAGCGCTTAGGCTTTGTCTCGGTTTCCCGCAGAAGCAGCAGTCATTTGTCTCAAGGCACAGATATTCGGAAACTGCGAAGGGTCCTGGACCGCTCCCGTTATTCCCGGGTCCCGGCGGTCGGTGCGACGCTCAGAGGCCCCCCTCCACGGAAGAGACGAGGAACAATGGGGGGCCCAGTTTGGCCACGTAACCGCCCAACTTTGCTCGTGGCTGGATTCGGCCCTGGGGTTGGGGTGGGAGAAGGCGCAAGATCGGCCAGCAGCCCGGGATGGGGCGGATGGAGGGGGGCAGCTAGCCGGGTCCGCAGCCGCACGGGCGGGCCCCACCTAAGGGCGAATGACCGCGGAGGAGCGCCCTCTTCCCGGAGGGGCGCGTCCTGCAGCCACAGACCGGCTCCTCCAGCCGCGACAGGGGCTGCAGAATTCCAGAAGCCCGGGAATCTGCCCGCCGCTAGTCCAGGCCCTCCGGCAAGGGAACAAAGCCAGGAGAGCGCCCGAGAGCCTGCGCTTCGAGCCTGGGGACAGGACGGGGACGCGCGGCAACTCTCGCGCCGCCCCGACGTCTCCTCTCCACGAAGCCAGCAAGCCGAGGGGCGCGGGGCCTAAGAGCAGCCCCGCTCCGCCCCAGTCCCGGGGACCCCTGGGAAGCGTCTAGAATCCTTCCCCTCGCCTTCCCCTCGGGCTCGGGTGGGAGGCCGCCCCACCAGAGCCCGGCCGTACCTTGTTCTTGACTTCGGCCGAGAGCCCATAGGATGGGCCCTTATTGAAGTGGGTCATGGTGGTCCTGGCGGCGGGAAGAGGCTGCGCTTGGGTCTGGGGGTTTCTCGCACTCAGCTTCCACGTTCCCGGCACCGAGGAGCGGCTGCAGCGGGAGATGCTCGGAGCTCGCTCCCCTGGGCAGTGCAAGAGACGCCGGGACGCGGCGGCGGAGTGCGGGCGCAGCCTCGGCGACTGCGCGTCTGGGTCCAGGGGAGCCTCCCGGTCCCCGCCGGATTCCCCCGCGAACTGCCCCCAACCTCTTCCCCGGGGCCTTCAGGGATTGGCCCACAAGCCCGACCAATGGAAGGCTGCCTCCTCCCGCCTCTCTAGCGAGGGGGCGGTGCGGCCAATTGAGGCGCTGCAGGCTCCGCGCTCCCTCCCCGCGCAGGTCCCGGGCCCCCGCCTCTGCCCTCACGCCACAGGGGCCCGCGGCACACCGGCCCCTCCTCCAGGCCGGGCCGTGGGCTGGGCGGCTCGGGCAAAGGCTGGGATCCCGCCCAGCTCCCCAGCCCGGCGTCTGGGGTGCTTTCCAGTGGCCCGGAGTTCTAGTCAATTTCCTAGCTTCGCGGAGAGGAGACAAGCCCGCCGGGGCTGGCCCAACGCTGAGCCGCCGCCTCTGTCTGCTGCCTCCCCAGGTCGAGGTCCAACGCGCCCAAACGGAGCGCAGGGCCCCTCCACCCGCTGCTGGAAGCAGCCTGAGCAGCCTTAGAGCCCCTGTGCCAGAGAAGAGAGGGCCCTTCCTCCAACACCTGTTCCTTCTTCCCTTACCTCGCAGCCAATCCTCACCTGTTAGTCTGAACTCTAGTCCGCTGCCACCACGGAAACAATCAAGGCTTTTGGCCAGATTCGAGCTCACTGTGTCTAAACCTCTAAGTGCAGTGCGGAAAAAAAACTGGGGAATGTACAATGGCAAAGCCTGGGGCATTTCACGTCCTTTTCTGAATTCGCACCAGCGCCTTTTTACAAGGAAGTCAGTCCCAAAACTGTCCCAGGTGGCTGTTGCTTTACTTTTTATTTTCTTAATTTGGAGGCCTCTTTGAATCAGAAGACTTTCGTACCGAGATAAGTATTCCAATAAGCTAGAAGCTGCCTTCATTCTTTCATGGACCTACTTCCTATGCATCACTTTCTTTCCTCCGATCTCGCAGTTAATTTCATAGGAGGAAGGGAACAGAACGCGGGTCACTTGTTTGAGCGCCTGACACAGTACTAGACGTCATCCAAATATTATCTCATTTACTGCCCCAAACAACCAGTAGGTAGATCACATATCCGTGGCAGACCCCAAACTAAAACTCTGGGCCCTAAGTCAAGGTCTGCCTGGTCGAGGTCTGCCTGCCTCCAAAGCTTTGCCACTTGCTGTCACTTTCCGATGCACAACGAGGCCAGGTTTCATCCCAGAGATCCTAGTATGAGAGTTTTGTTTACCAAACATCAGCCACTGTGCCAGAAGAGATCATGGAACCAGGTGTGGCAACCTGCTTGGGAAAAAGGGCCAAATATCTCACCATAGTTGAGCCATCCTGCAACAGAAATGAGTAAAGCAACTTTAAAAGAAACTGCACAAAACTGCTATTAACTTTTCAAGGATTTTCCAATGACTGGTAGGGTCGGAAGGTGGAGGAGGCTAATAGGGAAGAAAGTGAATTATTGATATGTGATTTGCTAACTCGGCTGGGAGATGGCAATGATAATTAGGTCATTCTTCCCATACAAGGAGGACACAATTGACCCGCAAGCAGTTTGGGCTGTTTTTCCAGTAGTGTGTTGGTGGCTGTGTGTCACTGACAAGATCTCACCCACTTTTGTTTAGGACCAACAAGTGTGGGAAATGGTAGCCAGATTTGAGGTGCAGCTCAGAGTCCTACCATAGTCCCAGCCTGTAAAGCTTTCCTGCTTCAATCCTGACTTTGATGGAACACATATGGTCAAAATCATTTTAATCTACCTAAAGTTCATTCTTTATAGAATGTTCAAGAATTATATTCAGTTTTGTCATGAAAAACTTTTAAATGGGAGTTTGTTTAGTGGGAGTTATTGTTGAATAAGTACAGATTCAAATGATGAAAAAGTTCTAGAAATGGATAGTGTCAATGGTCACAAAACACTATCAATGTACTTAATGCCACTGTATACTTAAAAATGGGTAACCTGTCCCTTCTTGCTACCCTACCTGACCAAGCAACCACTGATATACTTATGTCTCCCCATATCAGTTTGTTTCCTAGAATTTTATGTAAATGGAAACATACATTGTATATTCCATTTTAACTGGCTTCTTTCACTCAACAAAATTTTGAGATTTATCACTGATATATGTCTAGCATATATCAATAGTTCATCCCTTTTTATTGCTGAGTAATATTTCATTGTAGGGATGTATCACCATGTATATATCCATTTCTTTGCGGATGAACATTTTGGTTGTTTCCAGTTTGGGCTATTGCAGATAAAATGATATGAACATTCATGTACAAGTTTTTATGGACATATGCTTTCATTTCTCTTGGATAAATACCTACGAGTGGAAAGGCTGGATCATCTGAAAGGTATATGCTTAACTTTTTAAAGAACTACCAACTTCTTTCAAAGTGATTGTACCCTTTTACATTCCCACCAGCCATGTATAAGAGTACCAGTTCGCTTTCATCCTCATCAACACTTGGTATGCTCTGTCTTTTTAAGTTTAGCCATTCTAATAGGTATAAAGTGATATCTCATTGTGGTTTGAATTGTGATTTCCCAAATAAGTAGTAATGTTGGGCATTTTTTCATGTGCTTATTTTTCATCTGTGTATCTTTTTCATGAAGTGTTTGTTCAATCTTTTTTGCCCATTTCTTGTGTTTTTGTATACATCATAAACTTATCATTGCCAGGATAGTTTTAGAAAATCTTGAGCAAGTTCTAACAGTAGAATGTGTTGGCAAATGTTCCAAGTTAAGAAAAATTTCACATTACAAAATAATTAGCAGGGTGTGGCCCAACAATCTTAAGTATTTTAACTAGAAATGCCTTTAATATGCAGAACACTTTGAATTGAAAAAATACTCGTAAAGAGGTCAATGTTACCTCTCCAAATCCACATTAATTAAAAGCAGTTGGTGGGGAATTGTAAGAAAGGCATCTTTCACAGATATGAATCTGTGAATCATATTGTCATGTATCTTGCCACCAGGGCAATAGTAACAAACATCTTCAAGAATACACTTTGTAAATCCACAAAGTTAGAGAATTACAAAGAACTATGAAAGAATCAGTCAGTTATGTTTAAGACAGAGGGACCCGCGAAGGCTCAAAGGAGGCTGAGACTTTTAAGCACCTACTGTGTGTTAAGCACTATCAGAGGTGCATTATGGGCAGCAAGACCATATAATTTAGCACAGGATAGGGACACTTGAGAATGAAAGGGGGGTTTTGCTAATAATTTTTGTCTCAGACAGTCCTAATAAGTCTCCTTAATTGTGTTCCTTTTCACTTTCAAGATTGTCCCTGTGTAGTTCTCCACATGGTCACCTCACTTACAAGCATCACTCACAAACAACCCTGTACTGATAGATACTATCTATTCCCATTTTTACCGTCAGAAACTAGGATTCAGTGAGAAAGATTACACAACTTGGCCAAAAGCAGATGATTAATATAAAATAGAGCTGAAATTTGAAAGCAGGCTTGCTTTAGGATGATTTGGGGCAAACCAATTTCCTAGATCCCTCAAGAATCAGAAATCACTCTTCCAAGGCATATCTGCTCCCTTATTTATGTATTTTTTTTTCTTTTTAGATACCCTGCACATCTCCTTTTGGAGAGTGCCCACCACTCCTCCCTGTGATACTGTCGGTTTATCAATCACACAGTCTCCTCCTTCCCCACCAGCGGCAGACATGTGGCAGACTTTTTAAAGGGTTTACCCTATTCCCTAGGCATATTTATTAGGTTCAAGGAGGCATTTGACCCTAGTGGGGCCTGATGGATTGCTTTTTAATGAAAAGATATGGAAGCTGAGTATTTTGGCTACAACAGAAAACTAACTATAACTTAGACAAAAAATGGGCTCAATTATTTCCTGTGACAGAACATGCTAGAGTAGATCTAGCTTTAGGCATGCCTGGATTCAGGGACTCAGTCAAAAGTATCACAAGGCAGTATTTTCACATTCTTCTTTCCTTCTGTTGATTTTTCTCCCTTTATGTCAAATTCACCGCCGGAGGTTCAGAAGGTCTAGGCTTACATCCTGATCGCTCATCAACCACAACAGAAAAAGAGAACATAACAGAAAAGTGAACTGTTTCCCAACAATTCCAGCTAAAGTTCCAGGACTGAGTCTTGCTGGCCTGATTTGGGTCACCTGCCCACCTCCACAGCAATCACAGCTCTGATTGGCAGGTGTAGGTCACACTCCTGAGACTGTGTGGGAGGTGAGTAGACAACTTCCTTGGCACCACAGGAGCTGAGAGAGGAAAGATGCATAGCTCCAAAAGAAAACGATGCTGGCAGGCCAAATAAAATGATGCCCATTGCGCATGTGCCTCTCCCGCAGATGTATAAGAGCCCCTCACACCCCAAGACCCTTTTCAGAACCCCGCACTCCACTTTTTATTCATTGTTTTTTGTTCTTTTTCTCTCAAGGATGACCCTAAACTTGGATAAGCCTCAGGCATCCCAAAGTCTGGAGATACCTTAAAAGGGAACCATCCAGATTGCAAACTCCACCTTTTCTTATGGTCAACTAGGCACCAAGTTCTTGTCAATTGCTTACCTACAGTCTTCTTCTTCCATTCCCAACAACCTGAAATTGAGGTTTTGCCACCTCTAACCAGGGAATGTCATTCTACCCCCAGCCTTTCCCTCCCAAATTCAGCTTCAAAACTGATGCCTTACAGCATGGATTTCCTGAAAAAATAAAATAAATAATAGAATTACCATATGATACAGCAATTCTACTTCTGGGATATACCTGAAAGACTTGAAAGAGGACCTTAAAGAGATATTTGTATACTCACATTCACAGCAGTATTCTTCTCAAATAGCCAAAACGTGGAAGCAACCCAACTCTTCATCAATGAATGCATGGATAACAATATGTGGTACATACGTTGAAGGGGCAAAAACTTTTCTCTTTTTTTCTTCTAGGTTCTTTGACAGGTCTAATAATTAAATTGATATAAGACAGATTAACAGAAGAAAAACAAATTTAATTACATACATAGGGAGCCCCATAAAGATGTGAAGACTCAGGGGCAGCCAGGTCATTGAGGCTTATATAACAAACATCCTGAGTTAGGGAAAGGGGTAGGGATCTGGGGATATGAAAGGAAGAACGGCCATTCATAGGAAGGCAGCAAAGATGTCCAGAAAACAGGTTGTCCTGTTCTGCAGAGAAGTTTTGTAGGAAAAAAGGTATCTCTGATAATAGCTTTCTGGTAAAGGCTCCATTAACAATGTAAATTTAGGCATTTCATGGGGAAGTAAAGGGCTTTTACTGCATCTGTTGGATCTTGATGATCTTTAGCTCAAAATAATCTTCATGCCAAAGAGACATATTTTGGGGAGGCAAAATCTATTCTCCTTCACCATACAATGAAATATCATTCAGCCTTTAAAAGGAAAGAAATTCTGGCATGTGCTACAACATAGACAAACTTTGAAGACATTATGTAAGTGGAATAAGCCAGTCATAAAATGACAAATACTGTATGATTCCTCTTATATGAAGTACTTAGAGTAGTCCAGTTCACAGAGACAAAGTAGAATGGTGGTTGCCAGCAGCTGATAAAAGGGGGAAATTGGGGGTTCTTGTTTAATGGGGACAGTTTCAGTTTCACAGATGAAGCCTTCTCTGGGTGAATGATGGTGATAGTAGCACAGCAATATGAATGTATTTAACACTACTGAATTATACACTTAAAAATGGATAGGATGGTGAGTTATGCATATTTCAGCATAATTTTTAAAAAAACCTGATGCCTTGATAACTTTTCTAAATATACTTATTATCATGGTATCCACCCCACTTAAGGATTTCAAGAAATCATGTATGCAAAATGCTTGAGTATGTGGCTGTGCCTGCACAGGTAACTCCTTGGTGATTGGATGTCATTACCAGTAGTGTCATCATAGTATTATCTGGCTTTTCCATACCTCTCCTGCCTGAATAGTCCATGCTGTTCCACACCTTGGTGCCTCTACGGAGCTGTTTTCTCTGCTTCTATTTGTTCACATTTATTCCCCCAAATCCAACTGAAGTACATCTCCCCAGAAGCCTTCCTTGTCTCACCTACCTTCCATAGATCGCCTTTTCTGTGTATCATTTCTAATTTGTGAATGTTCCTACTGTTGCTCCTGACACAGTATACTTAATTTATTTGTTTACATGTGAATCCCCTTCCTAGATTGTGAGTAGATTTAGGGCAGAAAACTGGGAATTGTTGATTGCCTCATTCCCCAGCATTTTCTATTGAGTCTGGCATATAGTAGATGCTCAAGATGTTTGCCCAAGCAGAGATGATGATAAGCACTTTCTTACAAATCTTATCCCATATAAGCCTCACAACAACAATTCTGGGGACATGGTATTGTCCTCAGCTCTTTTCAGATGGAAGAAACAGAGGCTCAGAGAGGTTAATTACTTGTTCAAGTTCAGACAGCAGTGATATTTAGAACCAGAATTGTATGTTTCTGTTTCTGAAACCCATATTTTTCTTACCACACCTCACTACATCATCATGATCCATAGGTTCCTCAGGGAGAGTGTAAAGGAAACGGAAAAGTGAGAACTAAACTCTGGGGTTGCTCAAATTTGGAGGGAAAAAAAGGGATGGAGCAAGTGAAATAACACTGTGCAAAGAAAATCACTAAAATCAGCCCAGAAAGCAAAGGAAAAGAGAATTTTGAGGGAAAAGGAAGTATAAAAAATAAATGAAGACAAGAAAGACCACTTTATTTTTCACGATGGTCCTTCTTAATGAGAAGCCTCAAGAGCACAAGGCTGTTTACTGGGTAAGAAGGGAAGAGCTGGTGAAGAAATAGAGGCAGCATGGGTAGAAAAGCCATTATAGAGGAAGAGAGAAAAGTCGGCGGCCCTAAGGAGTAGGCAGCTGGGCTGACAGAGAAGAGGAGGATCCATGGGGGCACCAACAGAAGGGGCCTGAGAGGCTGGGCTGAGAGAGCGGAGAGGGCGTGGAGCCAAGGGGCTGGCAGGAGCTGCTTCCGGAAGGGAGGGCCTGCCACCTCCCCCATTGCCCTCCACCTGCCTCCATCTCCCTCTCTCTTTATCTCTCTCCTTCCTCTTTTCATTACCATATTCACTTATTCATCACTTTCTCTCTCCCTGTCTCCTCCTCTCTTCTTTGACGTCTATCTTGCCTTTTTCCTTACTTGAAGCAGTTGATAATATCCCAGTGATTTACCTATTGTCATTCAGGATCAAAGAAATCATTGACTATTGAAGTTTGGTGTTCAAAATAAAACAAATGCTTCACCAGCTACAACAGAATTTGGCAATCTGGAGAAGGAGTTTAGGAAGAGGGGAGAGGCCCTAATCTGGGTTTTGAATCAGGTTATGAACATAACTTTTGCAAGACTTATGTTACAATTTTTTGTGCACATGCATATGTGCATTTTTCTGGGAGAAGATCCCCCTGCTTTCATTGATTCTCAAGGGGAAAAGGTCAAAAAGGTTCAGAGTCTCAGTGCCTTTCGCCTCTATCAAATAACAGTTGCTTAAGTTTAGCCTCTATACACTACTTTGTTTTTATTTTAATCAGAGTATGGTTTAAAACTTCTGTTTTTAAGGAGTAGGGTTATCAAGAATCTCAGCTAAGCAAGCATTTGAAGTACAAAGTAACACATTCCAGTGTCACATTCCAATCTTCTTTGTTGCCTATCAAAAATCTTAGATAGTTTAAGATGGTATCAAAATACTAATACGTTTTAATTCCTTTGTAAACTTGTTTACTCTGAAATGTAAAGGCCAGAGTTTCCTACTGAAATGCAATTCATTTTCACTCTTTGAGGCACTGGGAATCATTTTCTCAATGGTCTAACTTTCAGCATATAGCACTGTTGTGACAAAGGAGAACATTTCCAGTTCATGCTGAAAGTCACTTAGCACTGTTGCTTGAAAAAAAAAGTGTTTACCTTTTGGCAATTAAGATATTTGCAAAATAGGCATTTCATTCAATAGAATTAAAAGCATTAATATAGTAAACAGAAAACTAAACTAACCAAAATTTTCTTTTAGTTCTCTTTCGGTTATAAACTCCAGGAGGAAAGGATCCATTTTCTTCAATGCTTCATCCCCCATACTTTATACACAGTAGCCATTTAATAAATATTTATCTAATAAATGAATGAAAAATAACAAGCTGATAACAGAATGCATTTTATAGAAAGCAGTTTTGAAGGCATGTTATTTGATCAATTTTTCTCTCATTTACTTCATTCATTAGCTATTTGCTGAGTGCCAATTCTGTATCGGGACTTTTGTTAAGTCTAGGAAATGCAATGGTAAATGAGACTGTTAAGATCCTTTAGGAGCTTTCAGTCTAGTGAGGGGTGGGGCACAGACCAAAATCGAGCAAGTACAATAAGGAGGGTAATTTCCTGGAGTCAAGAGCACCATGGAGACACTCAATGGATCTTGTGCTGGACAGTGCACATGTGCTGCTTCAAAAAGTGTGGCCTGGGGTGGAGGTGAATTCAAGCAGAGATCTGAACTTTGAGAAGATGAGGGGGACACATGTTCCTGGCAGAGGAAGTTGTCACAGCAAATATATTGATAATGAGCTGGGAGATTCAAGAAACGAGTGGCTGGAAGCATTGAGCAAGGGAGAGAAGGATGAAATGGGAAAGGTAGGTGGAGATCAGATTGAAGATTGTGAGGAGCTTGGTCTCAGAGCACTAACAGTGGTGATCCGAGGTCCTGAAAAAAATACTTCTGTGCTTGTTTTCTAAATTAAAGATTAAAATAAGCCCAGATAAGTACTGAGGTGACTTAAAAATAGAAATTCTTGAGTGGTGCATCTAATAACTCATCCAAAAAATGAAATTAAGTAGGTGGGCCCATTTTCCAGCCATTCTAGATAAATAAGCACCTATTATATTATAATGTTTGTTCAAGTAAAATCCTTACTACTTATGGGAGGAATGTGGTCATCATAGCAGGAAAAAATTTTTCCACTCTTTTCTGTATATTTAGAATTGGCCACTCTGCTAGTTTCCATTTCTTTCTCCAATTTCGTATTTTAGAATGCTTGGATCATGATCACAGGTTTAAAAAATATTTGGCCTCACCTAGTTTTTTTTTAAGTTTTCAAGGAAACTGCTTTGTAAAGTGTTGCAAGTACTTTTTACTTTCAGCTTGAAGAGGGTATGGGTATGATTTATAGGCATTATTCCAAAAGCATCAATTTCAGCTGTTAAAATTTGCCTTTGAATTGCTTGTTTAACTACTTGCTTGCCAGAAGTTATACAGAAAAAAATTTTCCTCATATTGTTGTGTGATATTTAAGTGATATGATTATCTTTAAGCATATGTTCCCAAGGTGAAATTGCACTTACTTTATAAAAAACTAACCCTCAAATATTTATCTTATACTCCATTTATTCACATATTCTTATCTTTGTATGTATGAGTTCAGCCACCATGAGTCATTATCACACAATTAGCCTTGATAATGGTCACTGTTCTTTCATGCATGTGTCCAGGAGGAAAAAAACTTGCTCTGTCCTCTTAAGTTCTGTACCTGATGACAGCAAATTAAGCTGACAAAAGACTGATTCACAGAAGTTTTATTGTGTGTGCACAGGGGAGCTTCCAAGAAGAGAAACCCAAACAAGCAGTAAGGCTTGAGGGCTTATATACCATTTTAATATAGGGCAAAAAATTGTGGAGAGGTGACAAGACAAAAGTAAAGGGGTTTCAACTTTTAGTGGCATTAAATTGTGGGAAGGTAGAGTATAGGGGGGAGACTAATGGAAATAGGATTCGTGTAGGAAGGTTTGTTATATAAACTCCAGTGATTAAGAGTCACTCTCCTTTTCCTGGTATAGGAGAGATGGGAGAAGGCAAATACCTTCACAAAGGGAAATTTATGCCCTGATTTTAGGTAGAAAAAGGGAGGGTTGAGGGTTCCTCCTTTGGTGTTTCTTAATTGCCTTCACCTCAAAATAATCCTTATGCCAAAGCAACATATTTTAGGATGGCACATTCTGATTTTCCTCACATGTTAGCCCCATCTTTCTATTATATCTTAAATCCATGGGATAGGGGTCAGGTTTTATATCTGTTCCTTACTGGTTCCTAGTTGAGTTCTGAGTATAAAGCTGGTGCCCACTTAGTATTTATGAGTTAAAACTGCAGGGTAGTCAATTATACCTCACTTTGTAAAAATGCAGTGCTACCTCCTGAAGATTGCTGGGTCATTAATATAAACATCCACAAAGCTGGTTAATATATAACTTCATAACTTGTCAGCTCCTGCAGATGCAAGCCAAAAACACTATTCTAGTCAGCATCAACACACCAAAGATACATGGAGGTTGGCAAATTGTGCTCTTAAAATACACACATCTTATCATCCAATTAATTTATTCATTCAACAAATATCTGTTGAGTATTTGCTATGTGTCAGGTTCTGTCCTAGACTCTAGAGAGACAGCTATGAGCAAGACAAAGCCCATGTCTTCAAAGTCATGACTTCTTCTGATTGTGTTTTACTATCTGATCCAATTCAAGGAAAGTCAAGATGTCTGTTCTTATATCTTTGGTTTGACCAAAAACACATGTGCCCAAGGATAGCGGCATATCCAGTCTCACCCTTGTTGGGACTCACCTGTGCTTCCAGGATGAAGTCCAGACATCTCAGATTTACAAAGCCCTCTTCACATAGAAAGTTTTACTGGGAAGAGGCCTGGAAAAGCAAAACAAAATGAACAATGGTCTCTAACCCTTGTATATTCCACGTTCACATTCTATGTTCCAGGAGATGACCTGCTTTTAGTAATTTAGGAACACAACTATACCCAGAAAGCCTTTTTCCATATGCCCTCTTCCACTCGACCTGGCTTCCCCTCGCCAGGCCCATCAGCCATCTCTGGGGGCCCTCCTTGCCCCACCTCCCCATTTCTGATTGAGTACCCACTCTGCGCTCCCACGGCTTCCAGCTCTTAGCCTCTGTCATAGGAATTATCATACTATATTATAATTTTCTAGCTTCTATTTTCACTAGACTGTGTGTTCCTTAAATTTAGAGACTAATTCTTTTACATATATGATGACTATATTAAAAGAAAGAAGAGAGGGAGGGTGTGTGGTGAGATTGATAAGAATTCCCCTCAGAGCCCTCTTCTGGGAGTCAGACCCACGTGGTCCAAGCCCAGCACCAGTAATGCTTAGTTGTGAGACTTCGGGCAAGTTACCTAACTCAGCTGGCTCACTTACTCCTGGAGCTAAGCAGAGGCTCAATAAGCATATGCTTAATGAAAGAATAATAGTGATTATTAGGGGCTTAATTAATAATGATAGCTAATTACTAACGATAGCTGTATATGCAGAGCACCTTCTGTGCCAGGCACTGTTTTGACCCCTTTCCACATATTACTTCTATTAGTCCTCACATCACCCCATGAGGGGGGTACTATTACATTCCTTCTACTGATGAAAATGAAGACACTGTGGCCCTGACACCTGCCAGGTTAGTCAGAGGCTCTGAAGTCCATTCTCTTAACTATTACTCTCTTCTGCTGGCTGTTGGCTGCAAGGGAGATGGGGAGGAGAGAAGTTGGTGAACACAAAGGGCCCCCTCCCCTTATCAAGGAAAGCATTCCTTATTACTATGATTTCCTTTCCGGGGCTGACCCACCAATATCCCAAAGTGCTGGGCTTCAGTCCGACGTTCCTCCTTGTCATCTAAAACTCTCCTCTACCCACAAAAACATCTCATATTAATTATGTCTGGTTTGAGGGTCCAGCAGGAGAACACAGATCTCTATTAATTGAGAGCAAGACAGTTTCCTTTCCAATTTTGGAGATTTCTTTCTCACTTATTAATCTACTTAATGCATATGCTTTCACATACTGTAAATTATTTATGTCTAAAATAATACATATATGCCTCTTAGAATGGTTAGTCTCAGTATAGAAGCCTGGGTTGGGTCACTAGAGTAGAAGGCCCCCCTCACTTTACCCCATCCATAGCCCTGCTTGTATTCTTTAGCTCTCCCCCTCAGTTTAGCTGACCAGCAGACTAAGGAGGGTGATCCATTCTCTTGGTCACTTCAATTGAGGTCTTATAAATTTAGAAGCTATAAGGCAATCATTTTCCATCTTATATGAAGAAAACCAAAGAAAGTAGGTTTATTAGTTTGCTTATAGGTTCCAGCTTCTTAATAAAGACCCAATACAACATCACCTTAAACAGGATGGAAACCTGTTTCCCCTTCAGAAGTTGGGGTTCCTATGGCCAGGATCTTCACTGAACTTAAACTACCTGATGATGTAACTGGCCTGTTGCTAGGCTACCACTTTCACACCTTTAGGCAATAAGCTATTATTGCACTATATATANAACCCTTTCACCCCAAAGAATGTTTTGCTGTCAATTTTTTGGGTCACATTGCATCCATAGTGAAATTTCCTGGGGCTGAAACCCATTGGCAAGACAATTGGCATAGATGGCAGGATTCATTGTTGACCAGGGAAAAAGACAGGCTACCCTTATGGGAGGGGAGCTTCAGCAGGATGCCCCTGTGAATGGGGAGACAGTGGATTGTCCCCCAGTGGGTATGTGGTCTGAGGTGGCTTGCTCCTAGATGACTGGGCCCCACCCCAGGACTGGAGGCAAGTGGAGGTGATACCTGAGGCAGTAGGGATAGCCCTTGATACAGTAAGCAGATCTTATGAGAGACAGAGTGCCTGTGAGGCAGTGGGGACTGTGGGTTGGCTGCTTCTCACAGTATTAAAAAAGTCTACCGGAGAGAAGGACACGCTTCTGAAAAAGACCCAAGAAATGGCAGCACTAGAACATGAGCTGCTACTTCTGTGGATTCCCTGAAGAAGGAAATGGCATTGACACAAGAGGAGGCAGCACAAGAATGCAGGCAGCAAGGTGCCACTGAAGAGGTGAGAGATTCCTTACAGAATGAGATGGCAGCACTGCAAGGTGCTCTGAAGAAGGAAAAGGCCATTAAAGAAAAAGACAAACTCCTGAGGGATGCACAGGTGGAGGTGGCCTGAAAACGCCAGCTGCGAAGCATTGAGATGAAGGTAAGAGAGCTGCTGAAGACTGACCTGGCATTGCTGCCAGGCATGGTAGAAAAGGTAAAGGTCATAGCCGAGGAGGCACTCGGGGGAGGGGAGAGAAAGGTGCCATCAGCCCCAGAAATGGAGGAGCTGGGGAAGGATGAAGGGGTGGTGCTGGAGGCACTGACCCCTCCTATATTGAAAGCTTGCCCAGTGGTTGTAAAGAAAATAAAGGGAACCCAGCAGCTGAAAGTTCCCCAAGGAGAGGAGCAGCCCTCTCCCCAGGTAGTGGAGCACTCTATGGTCCGCCCCTATACTCAGACTGAGCTGGTGGATTTGGGCTCCCAGTTTAGGCAGAAGCCCTCGGAGTCCATATCAGCTTGGCTCCTATGTCTGTGGGACTTAGCGGTGGATGGAACTGTTCTGTTGGGATCAAAGATGGGAAAGCTGGCTTCCCTAACAGTGCAGCCCGCCTTGAGGCAGCGATTGTGACTCCCTCCTCGATTGGTTTATGGTTTCACTTTGGGCTTTGTGCCCCAATCAGGGTGATCTACCATCTTTTCCTGTTAGATGGCAGATGTGTGCTGAGCTCCAACAGGTGTTACAAGAGCAAGGCATAAGAAGTGCCATCTATAGTCCAGAGAATTATGACCCAGATGAAGAGATCACTACTGGGATGAGAAATATTGTGCTTCAAACAGCTCCCACATCCCTCTTTGGGTCTCTAGTGGCCATTCTTTCCCCTCACTTAGGACATCCCATAAGAGAGGTGACATGTACAGTAACAGACTTAGGAGAGGCTGAAGCAATGAGAGCACAGAAAGAAATAAGGTCTGCTACTCGCAAAAAGAGTTTAAAGGGCCCCATGAAGGTTATAAGGACCCAGATGTGGGTTGACTTAATATGGGCAGGAACAGATGGAAGGAAATTAGATGGAAAGTCAAATAGGATCTTACTAGAGCTATGGCAAAAGCTGAAACCAGAGCAGCAGTTCCAGCCATTAAGACCAAAGAGGCAGAGGTCAGAGACAGAGCCATGAGTCTGGTCTGTATGTTTGCAAAACTTCCTGCTGGAAAGTGAGCCAACCTCACTTGAGCCACACTGGAAGATGATTGGGGAACACGGTTTGACTGAGGGGAAGGTCCAGGTATCTGCCCTGAGGGACCAGGGGGGACCAGAGGCCACATGTTGAAATAGCTAACCATTGGTCCCCAGTGAACATACAACGTGTCCTGGCTCTGTAGGACCCAGGGGATGAATGTTCACTGATTCATGGTAACCCCGAGGGGTTCCCTGGGACCCCCACTATCATAGCTGGATATGGGGGGTAAGGCTATCAGAGTGAAAAAGCCCAAATCCCTTTGGGAATAGAAAGTATACACCCAAAAGAGTATACTGTGTATATATCTCCTATCCCTGAATATATTCTGGGGATTGATATCCTGCAGGGTCTATGGTTGCAGACCACTGCAGAAGAGTTCAGACTGAGAGTATGTGTGGTGAAGGCAGTTCTGAGGGGACATGCTAGGCGCCTGCCCATATATTTGCCTGTGCCTTAGTGGGTGACTAATACCAAACAATACAAACTGCCTGGAGGGCATAAAGACATTGAAGAAACTCTCCAGGAGCTGGAAAAGGTGTGTATTATAAAGCCCACCCATAGTCCTTTTAAGTCACCAGTGTGGCCAGTAAAAAAGCCAGATGGCTCCTGGAATATGACTGTGGATTACAGAGAACTGAATAAAGTCATACCCCCTATGCATGCTGCTGTCCCCTCTATTGCAGGCCTGATGGATACCCTCAGCCATGAACTAGGAACATGCCATTATATGGTAGATCTTGCTAATGCCTTCTTTTCCATTGACATTGAGCAGGAAAGTCAGGAACAGTTTGCTTTCATGTGGGAAGGACGGCAGTGGACTCTCACCGTCCTTCCACAGGGACACCTCCACAGTCCCACCATCTGTCATGGACTTGTAGCCCAGGACTTGGCTACATGGGAGAAACTGCCAATGGTACAGCTGTAACATTATATTGATGATGTCATGCTCACATCCAATTCTCTTTCAGATCTAGAAGGTACAGCACCTAGACTGCTGCAACATCTACAGGAGAAAGGATGGGCTGTGAACAGCACCAAGGTTCAGCGACCTGGATTCTCTGTCAAATTCTTGGGGGTCACCTGGTCAAGTAAGACCAAAGTTATACCAGAAGCAGTTACAGATAAAGTCCAGGCCTTTCCTACCCCTACAACTGTAACATTGCTACAGAAGTTTCTGGGTCTTCTAGGCTACTGGAGACTGTTTATTCCACACTTGGCACAAATTCTGAAGCCCTTACACCGGTTGGTATGAAAAGGCGCCAGGTGGGACTGGGATGAGACATGTGCATCTGCCATTACTACAGCAAAATGGGCAGTAAAGGCCATGCAGGCCTTGAGTGTGATAGACCCATCAAGGCCCTGTGAGCTGGATGTTCATGTGACTGAAGATGGTTATGGCTGGGGTCTCTGGCAGAGGCTTGAACGAACTTGCCAACCTGTTGGATTCTGGTCACAACTCTGGAAAGGGGCAGAGGTAGGATACACTTTGATAGAAAAACAACTGGCTGCTGGGTATCATACCTTGCTGGCTACAGAACCAATCACTGGAATGGCCCCAATAAAGATAATAA